CCAACAACCACAACAATACCTTTCTCCCTTTCAATGATAGTGTAGCCACCCTCCTTAAAAAAAAAGGAAAAGTGACAGCATCCCACTTTGGACAAGGAACAAGGTTCCGGCGCAGGCCTCACTACCATCTACGGAGCTCACTGCATCAAGACCCATCATAATACGATAACTAAAAACATTACGAAAGTTTCAGGCTATGATAAATAATTGCATTACATACTTTGTGAATAACTCATACAGTTATGCCACAAGCCATAAATTGCAAATTACATATCATTTTCCTAGAACTTTTTTTTTACAACGAGAATATACATCAAATAACAACATACATTTTCATGGAGAGTTCCATAACGTTCCAGTCCAAAAATATTCATAAATTTGCATTGCATCACATTACATCGAAAAAAGTAACAAGCAATCATCGAAAAACAGATTTCCGATCCAAAAAACATAACACAATTTCATGAACAGGAGTCGCATAATTTATTAATTATACAAAACATGGAACCATAGGTCCCAAAATTAAATTCAAATCCCAAGAGTCCAAAGTTATAATTCCGTTGTCTATCCTCAGAACCAGTCAGCAATTTGTAATCCCAGAAGAAATAAAAGAGGAAAGCAAGTCCTAAAGAAAAAGAAACTTATACTAATCAAACCTCTTTATTAAGTCCTTGGAATAAACTTTCTCAAATGCGATCCTGACACCCAATTTATACCTCCTGCCCCATCCATCTCTTCAATTTCATACGCCCCATGCTCAGATTTTCTGATAATACGATAGGGCCCCAACCATCGGCTGTCCAATTTTCGAGACCATTGTTTTTCCAAGGACGAATCATAGAGAAGTAGAATATCTCCTATTTTTAAAGGCTCCTTACGAACACGAGCCCCCTTATCCCATCTTTCCTTGTCGGCCTGTCTACGCTCTGACGTAGAGACAACGGCCTCCTCAATCCTTTCCTCAGTGATTATTACTTGTCTCGCTCTTAGTTCCAATAACTCCTCCGTCGAGAGTTTTGTTTCCACATCCTGCTTCTTCCAAGTGGTCAAGAAACTCTCAATTGGAAAAGTTGCATGTCGTCCAAACCACAATGTGACTGGAGCTCTCAATCTGTCAATCCAGTTGTTCGCTTTATGGTGACATTCTCAACAAAGAATGTCGTTCTCAGATTTATTGGTCATCTCGAAGGATCGTCTCCTTACCATTTTGCCAACAAATTCGTTAGAGTGACATGTTCACACTCAACTGGCGCATTGGCCTGGGGATGTGCCCTTGTAGTATAGCTAAAACTTACTCCAAGTTTTTTCAAAAGCGTCTGCACCTCCCCATCCCGAAACTCACCACCTCGATCCATAACAATCTCTCGGACAAACGGGTACAAAAGATAATATTCCTCAATGCATTCTGCTGAAACACGCCCAGTACGCTCGCAAATGGCACAACCATCAATGAACCCAGTCAGATTATCGCTTGCATTAAAGATATATTTGTACCTATTTATCCCAGGTGACATGACCAATACATCAAGGTGTACTACTGCTCCCGGCTCAGCCACATAACGTGGATGAAGAGGTTCAACAAAACGCAAATTAGATCGTTTTTGGAAAGGAAGACAAGAGTTACAGAAGTCATTTACCATCTTGTTTATTCCTTCTAAAAAATAACGATGTTGAATTTTTTTCAAAGTGACTCGCGTCGATCTATGTCCGCCTGCGACCCCATCATGCAAAGCTGCAATCACATCAAGTTGTTGCGCAACCCCACATACCACTCTCTTCGGAATACCATCGTTGGACTTTTTGAAAACATGACCATATCTTACAACAAAATCCTTACTCTTCTGGCGAACAACTGGATCCACCTCTTCTTCTCTTAACTCACCATTCAACCATATTCCCATCAATCTATACTCCCCATCATACTTTCCTTCTCTGAAAGCTTCTCTGATCTCACTGCCTTCTGCTTCTTCATTCATCATTTTCAGGCGATCCTCGTGAATCGGATAATTCACAAGGAATGACATCTCCCAGCGATCCTAAAAGTCTTATCGGCTTGCTCGTGCCCATACTCAATCGTCAGCGCCTCTTTGATGAACTCAACTTCATCAGATAAAGCCAAGTTCATAATTTGTTCTGATGTTCTTTCACCCCATGGGTCTTCCTCAATGAACGGCTTCCTCATCCCAAGCTTTGATCGCACATGATGGAAACAAGGAGCATTCCAGATGGTTTTCCCATGCCGGGTTGTTGCATCCGCCAAATAATTGTATGAGTTAATACTCAACTGTGAGTCTTCTCCTTTGAGGAATCCATCGATAGAGACTGAATCCTCAGCCCGATCCGTCGATGAGTCCCAATCAACACGACTCAACCCATCTGCTCGATTCTGAGTGCCTAAAATGCGCTCAATCTCAAAATTGAACATCCAAATATACGTCAGTCATCGAGAAATGGTTGGATGAGAAGGAAAATAGTTCTTCAACGATTGAGCCAGAGCCGTAGGATCAACTCGCAGAATGAACCGACTGCCAAATACATAATTCCTGAAAATGCGCAGACAGTGAAGCACAACTAGAGTTTCCTTCTTGATCTGGGAGTAGTTCCGCTCAGTAATATTCAGAGTTCTGCTCTCGAATCTCAATGGCCGCTCCCGTCCTTCCCCATCCTTTTGGACAAAAACTCCTCCCAAAGCGGTAGGACCTGCATCAGTCTCGATGATGAAAGAACGGCTTTCAGCATCCTTAAAATAAGGAACTCCCAAAATCAGGCCGCCTTCTCGAAACTCAGCTTTAATATCCTCAACGGCTGCCTGCTGCTTCGATCCCTATTCCCAGAGCCGACTCTTGCGTACTAATTTTCGCAAGTGTTCCACCCTCGCTGCGAACCTGCGGATAAAAATACGTCAAAATCCGCATGTCTCGAGGAAGCTCCGAACGTCGGTAATAGATCTGAAGGGAGTCGGTCATTCCAAAATTTTATTCGTCTTTTTGGGATCTGGTCGACGACCCTTTTCGTCACAAAGGAATCCTTCATGCCATGCCTTGATTTAACACCACTAGCAGTTAGGTTATATTCCTTCAGTTTCCTCAGAACCTTTTCCATATTGCTGATGTGTTCCCAGACGATTTCAAACTCCGGGTAACACTTCAGTCTCATCCTTGACTCGAGGTCCTGGGATGACCAAATCATCGATATATGGAGAAGTCACGTCCGGACAAAGCGGCTGAATGACTCGCATCATATATCTCTGCACGATTGCCACGACATTTGTCCAACCCTGTGGAGCCGCACACATATGAAGCAGTCCCCGATGCGTATGCATCGCCGTCATAGGCCGATCCGCTGTGTACAGCGGAAACTAATCATACCCTGAGTACAAATCAATTAGGGTGATGGTGGGCCTGCCTGCACAAGATCCGAGAGTTGGTCGGCGTTCGGAAGTCCGTCTGCATCTGGGACTGTCACAAAATTCAATTTCTGCAGGTCCTGAACCCATCGCAAAACACCATTCGGCTTGATAAAGCAGAACCAAGGAGACTTATATGGCCCATACGAATAGTCAGTCACTTTGGTACGAACCTTACCATCAAGATAATCAACCACCTTCCGGTGATCGTCCGGATTCGGATATCGTGGACCTTTCACATTCCATGGCTCATGCGGTACCATATGGATCCGGATCATTGGAATCATATCGACATCCAGCCTTCCACGCTCATCATCATCAAAAGCATAAGCCAGAGGAATTTTCTTCATAACGTCGATAAAAATTTTGGTTTCCTCCTTAGTGAGGAGACCATCCTCTCCAATGATCATCTCCTTGACCCTGTCATCTGTCAATCGATACGCCCCCTTCTCACCCTTCTCTTTCAATGTTTTGATCCACTCGCGTTCTTCCTTGTAATACACCACTTTTTCCTGAGTGATCAGAACTGGCACTGGTCGCGCCTTCTCTCCTACTTTCTTGCACTTCCTCTTGGACCCAACGCTGAGCTTTCGTCCCCTAAAAAAAACTATTGTCGCGCCAATTGCAGTGATTCCTCCATACGAGTCTCATTTGGTCGATAAACGAGATGCATGGTCCCCGCACCTTCTTTGTCAACCACAACCTCCATCAGGGTCTGTACCAGGCTCGGATCAATTGCAGGATGGGTCGCTGCAAAATCGACTGCTTGTGAGATACTTGGCAATGTTAACGAATACTCTTGAGGATACCCTTCCTCCTCGATCGCCTCTTTCTCCCTTCTCAACTTCTCTAACTCTGAGAAGGTATATGATTCAGGATTCAATCGGTTCCATGAATTTTTCGGTCTGGTATTTGCGCATTTCACCACTTCATAGTAGTCGCAAACCGGATCGCACAAAGCTACAAACATGGTGCCGTCATGTTTGTTGAAGATTATGCTTTTTATGCGACACTGAAAAGATCTTCCCAAAAGTACTTTGTGCTCAACCTTTGGCAATATATAAAAATACGATCTCGCCTTTACTTTCCCGACCGTGACCATCACGCCACTAGCCGTACCGCAAAATGGAGTTGTCCCGCCGGCTCCAATCAAAAATCCAAAATCATTGCGATTGATCTGTATTCCAGCTCAAATCGCATCTCTCTCTCATTATGTTCATTTCGGCCCCATCATCTACGAGAACAGAGAATTCTCCACGGCCGATTTGAACTTTTATGAGACCAGTGGCTACACATCGCCAATCCATCTTCGTCCCAGGAGGCGCCCAGTTAGCTTCCGGAGGAATGATCTCACTTAGTTTAACTGTCATAGCTTTCTTCCGAGTCATGCGCTGCTTAAATTCCTCACGAAGCTTCGGCGATACAGCAAGAATTTTCTTCAGGGTAACCAAATCGCGCTGACTTTCCATAATGCGATCCACAAGTTGTTCAAAATCAATCCCTTTTTCTACCGGGATCGTATACACATTCTTCTTCTTGCGAGGTTTTTTTCCTCGACCTTGGTCTTCCCTGTTCCGACTCCCTCTCCATAGCCCTCTGCTTTGCTAGCAGTTCATCCTCTGCACGCAATCTTGCATCATCCTCGTCATCATCCTCTTCCTCTGCTATGCTAGCAGTTCATCCTCTGCACGCAATCTTGCCCCCTTTGAACTCTCCCCTGACGCAGGCTGTGATTGTGAAGTCTTCCTTCCCTTCCGCGTCTGCACCATAATGGTTGGCATCCCTCGCTTGAGTACGGGTCTGGACATTGCCATATGCCGAGCCATCACCGTTGCTTCAGGCGCCGAAGCGGCCACAGGTGCTGACCCATCCTGACCTTCATTTCCCCATCCACCAAAAAGGAACACATTTGGAAGGTTCGGCCAGACTTCTTCCATGTTAATATATAACTGTACAATGGAATCTCGACACTTGCCCTGTTTCCTGCTTACCTCTCGCGCCCGATGAGCAATGTCTTCTTTCCTTTCCTCTAACTCTTCTTCGTTACACCCACCGATCTCCAAAGAAACCAATGTTTCTTCTAATTCAAAAAGGTTTGCTTCTTCAGGAGAAGCTAATCGGAATGTAGCTGGAAAAGGACGACCCATCCGTCGAAAAGCCTCTTTTCTCATTCCTCCTTCAATGTCCTGATGGATGAGATTTCCTTCGAAGTCAAAGACTTCTCCTCGAATCATCGTAAAGACGATCTGGTCTTTCTCATCTTTCACGAGGATCTGGCAGAAACGAATAACATGTCCTTTCATATCACAATATTTGCAGACGTACCCTGCCAGTTCCCACGTCCGCCACCGTTTCCGTGGCCTCTACCACGGCCTCGACCACCTTGTGGTTGAGCCCCTGGCCAACTTGCTGCCCACTGCTTCCATTCTCTCCATTCTTACTACTTTCTCCTTGTTTACGAGAAGTACCCTGCCCTCCTCGTATCTGATTCAAGGTTTTCCTCTCAACCTTGGTCAGTTTCCGGGGAGGTTCCTTTTCCTCTTCGCTGTCACTTTCACTGCTACTTTCTTCAGTGACTGGCTCCTTCCCTTTTCTCTTTCCAGTCTTTACCTTGGCCATCATCACTTGGAGTTTTAGCCGTTCCTCCTTCATGCTGGTCATTATTTCCCTTATGTCAAATAAGGTCTTATAGACCTCCTTGTCCTTATCCGTTCCCAACTGTATCCTCTCTCGATTCTCCTTCTGCTGTTTCAGCAGCCGATAGAGGATCTGATCGAAGTTCCCGGCCAATAAATTCTCTCGAATTTTTGGCCAATCATATCGCTCTTTCATGCCCTTCACCAATTTTAGCTGCTCCACTTCCATGAAATTATCCAGGAAGATGAGACAACGATCCTTGTCTGGAAGGTCAGGAACTAACCGCGCGACCCGCTTGAATTATGTAAGGAACTGCTTTGTTGTACCAAAGCTCTTCCGACTAACTTTCCTCAAATCGGCGAAGTCCAACAGTTGATCGCTCAACTGATACTTTTTTAGCAGCTTCTCTTTGAATTATGCCTAGTCCTGCGAACCCCGTACCAATTCCTCCACCTCTTCCTTGTACTGGACCTTGCAGTATCTCTTCACCATTCACAGCATCTTTTCATTGGACCACTCGCAGCAACTTCTCAATTGCTCGAACTTGTCTGCCCATTCCGAGGCGTTGTTGCCATCAAATAATGGAACGTCAACCTTCGGGATTTGCTCCTTCTGGGACTGCTGAATAATTCTAGCAAGCTCCCGAATGTCATTTTTTCTCTCATCTTGATTGTTATTGTTATCGGCCATCTTGAGTGAAGAAAATCTCAACAACATATTCAACAAAAATCAGTCAATCCTTCTGCATAAATAAAATCTCGTAATTTTGGGATCAAATTACTGACTTTTTCTGAGGTCAAACAAGGGGAAAAAAAATAACTTTTTACTCCATAAATCATCCAAGTGTCATTCCGCTAGGGACAACGGTAGTTTGTCATTATCCCCGGCAACGGCGCCACCTGTGGTCACCTGTGGTGCGCATCGGCCCTCGATTGAAAACGAGGGCCCTCCCGGCCATGTCACGCAGGAGTTCACCTAAAACATAACTTCAAGAGACAACTTGGGATCGACGCATGACTTTCTGCGAACCGCCGTGACGGACGCGGTTGCATCGCTCCTTCGCCGCTCTAACCGGATGCGCCAGCTATACATTCCACGATCCCCTACGACATTATAGGTTTTTGCGGGGCATAAACTTGCATCCCAAAATGGTTGTCACCACCCTTAGGGGCGTATCCCTACCGAGCTACTGACCCACGTGCGAAAGCTTTTAAACGCAATCGCAGAGGTAGATCAGCCGAGGGCGTTTTCTCGTCTCGCTGCAATATAGAAAATGTTTGGCTAAACGCCGAATGGACCCGAACTCCGATCGTTCCCTGGGGCGCTGATCTCCCAAGTGTGACACGTATGTCGGTCGACTAGGACAGTCCCAACCAAGCATGAAAACAATACTTAGTCCCTTAGTAATCAAAACAACAGAAATTCTCATACCTTAAAATATAATCACACAATCCAAATCATTGACTTGATGAGTTGGTCTGCCAAAGTGTCTTTTTTCAACCTGTATGACTGAAAAAATTCATGCAAACGACCTTTCATCATCAAGATGACAAAACACAGAGGCCGTTACGGGCAGCCATATTGCCCTCATTCTCAAAAAAAACTGGCTCATGCACACAACCCAGATGATTTCGATTTTTCGCAACATGCACTTAGCCGTACGGCTGGGTCCAGCTAGCTACGTTGAAAACTACTCACGGTGCCCAATAACATCCTCTGAGGGAATCGCCACGAAGGTGCCGAGCCCGGATGAAAATGACGATCACGATTAGCAGTCTAATTATGGAGGTGGGAGGTCTCTGCCAACTATGATAACATCAATCACAGCAAGAAGCCTGATGGCTTTGGCTATGGAAGAGCAATGTCGGGCCTTATAGTTGACAATCACGAATCGTGAGGGCGGATGACATCGCGAACACGACGAAATACGAAACTACGAAGAAGAGCCCGAGGAAGTGCAACTCGACGATGCTTACGATAGACACAGCGACCACTACCTGCCTCATGGTCAGGATGTTGAAGGAGATAGCAACGATGACAATGAGGGTGGAAAGGAACTTATGGCGACGAACGAGGGAGCGCTGCTATGCCTGCTGTTAAAAAGACGGACAGATACGGTGCCATACTTTCAAACACCTCCTTCCCTCGCGTGGTTTATAACTCATACATCACCTAACTCGCAACCCCAACACCAAGTCTGATGCTCCCATCAATTCTGCAGTAGCCAAGAACCTCCAAATCATCTCTTACTTTGTTTGATTCCATGGAGGAACGACGAGGTACACTTTCCTACCTCCGACTTTCCCAAAACCAGCGCGCAGCTTCTGACATCCGTGTCGAGCAACCCATTACCTTATGGCAAAAACTGGCATTGCCATTGCACTCGCCTTGCCTCAAAACCCCAAAATTGAGCCTTAGTTCACCCGATTCGGCCAAGGAACGGGCGAGATATGAGTTATCTGCTTCGCCATATCTCGCTGTTCCCCTTCGTCTTCACCTTCCCACTTTCTCTCTCTTTACCCTGCGGGTTGAAGTGCCCTCCTACCAGCCGGTCCGACAGACTCACAGACTAGAAGTCCCAATCACCCGTGGCCTGTCGGGTCAGGCCTTATTATAGCGGAGCCTTGCCAACATGCGCTCTCAGCCTCACCACTTCGGATTAGCGAGACTTCTTTTCCTGTGCGTGAACCTGGCTATGTCTCCTACCTACATGCTTTAGGGGCTGGTCACAATGGTTGAGGGCACGCTCACCCGAGACTACCCAGGCAACCTGACTCTAGCTTAAACAGTCTGTGCGATGGCATCTGGGTCTTGAACTTGATCCGTATTTCGACAGTTTATGGGTGTACCCACCGAACTAGGCTATTGGGTTTTCACAGCCGGTCCTGGTACCGACACCGGGCCACGTCCCAAATGGGACTAAAATAAGAAATAAGAAAAATAAAAATATAAATAAATAAAAACTTAGAGACAAAAATTAGAAAAATTGATAGGGGAGGGGAACTGTTGGTACTTGGTCCTCGGTCCTACCTCGCGGGCCCACGGTCGGATCCCCCAACAAAACTAATGGGGATAGTCCCGCGGGACCCTCGACCCCTCAGTTTTCTCCAGCAACGCGCTCCTTTGCTCCTCTGCTGCTGACTGTTGGCCTCGATCCCGGTACCTGTTGGCTGGAAGTCCAGTATTGTAACCATAGGGCTAATCCCAAGCCTGAACTGGTTGTACTCCGACCTGTATATGAACGGTAGCTGCAGCCAGCCCGGGCCTGCAGACGGCGCACCAAGGCCATCTTTTGGCTTACAATTTGCGTCCATGCCCCTATCCTGCCGTACTCGTCAAAGGGTTCCGCGTTTATCGCCTTTGGGTCAGAAAGACCCCGACTTTTACTCACACCGTACCCGGTCCATGCCATCCTAACTAAAGTTTGTCATGGCTTCTGCTGCCGACAACACTCAGCCAAACCTTGTACTCGCCAACTCCATATTATGCGGCCCCAAAAAATGTCGTTCTCCAGTAAGTCAGACAAAATCCTCCTCTAGTCGCAGTCTCACCTGGTCAATTCTGTGTTGTCCGTAACTTTGTCCATGCGTGCGAGGTTGGGGCTTACACGACTTTATCCAAGATTTTAACCTAGTACCAACTTGCTCTACCGGCGTTTCAAAGTTCACATTGATCAATTATTTAGCCAAGCTAACGCGTGCCCACAAAGTGCACACTCACACACTCTCTAATCAAACTCAAAGGTGTGTGTCACTCCCAACCCCTGAGAATTGGTTGTGGTCTCAAAGAAATAGGACTCTCTCCTAGATATCGTCTAAGAACGTACTTTCTGTAAGCTGCAAAATTGTGCCCAAATACCCTTGTAAAGGTATTCGGTCCGACAACGGTGTCCGTTCACTTGATTGGCTGTGCACTGCACCCCGCTCACCCCAGTTGACTGCGGACAGCACCGCTTATCCATGACACATCAGATTTCAGCCAACTCACCGCTATAATCAGTGATAAAGAAAATAAAAATAAAATAAATAAATAAAATCTGGAAGACAGATATGCAAGGAATATGAGCGGGAACGATATATTGAAAACCAAATTGCGAAGTCACACAGATGTCAAGGTAGTCATGTACAAGCAGAGAGCACAAATGTACCGGGACTCCATCCAAATAAGAGCAATACAATAAACTCTTGAGCCAATGTTCAAGTCCTCAGGCCACACCGACGCAGTATCTAGCGTAGCCCCTCTCTATCTGGCGCCCCGCACCCAACTTACACTACTTGCCTATCCTTCTACAGCCGCATTCACGCAACGGACTCACTTCGACTTTGAAGACCAATGTACATGACGTCAACACCATAGTCGACCATTCACATACACAGGTACACATCCCTCTCCTTCTTTCTCTTTATCTCTCTCTCTGTCTCACTCTCTTGTGTATGTGTCTTTCTCCGTGTGTGTCACAGTGCACTGTGTGTTTCTGTGTATGTCACATTGGTTGTGTGCCTACTTTCACTGTGTCCCCTTGTGTGTCACTTTGCACCGTGTATCTGTATCACGGTGTACTGTGTATCTGTGTCATCGTGCACTGCGTGACTGTGTCTGTGTCTGTTTCACTGTATACGTGTTACTGTGAATGTGCGTTGCGGCGTCTAAGTATGTGTCACTGTGTGTTTTCACTGTGTGTGCGCGTGTGTCACAGTGTCTGTGTCACTTTGACTGTGTTTTTACTATGTATGTGTGTATGCGTGTCATTGTGCACAGTGACTATGTCACCATACATCTGTGTGACTGTGTATCTGTGTGTGGATCACTGTGACTGTGTGTGTGTCATCGTGACTGTGTCACTCTGTGTCTATGTATTTGTAATGTCCTTATGTATGTGTATTTTCCGTTTGTCTGCCCTTTATGTTTGTTTGTTTGTCTTTCTCTTTTTGTCTGTCTGTGTGTCTGTCTTTATGTCTATCGGTTTGTCTTTCTGTTTGTCTGTCTGTCTGTCTGACCCTCTATCGAAATGCAACAGAGCAGTAACGCAACACGATCCCTTTATGTGTAGCAGGTTGAGACCATAGCAAAAGGGACACGACAGACAGAAGCTCGCATTCCAACAAGTCGGGCAGACGACGGGCCATCCCCACGACGCTGTCAGCGAATCCATCAGGCATCCGACAAGTCTCCACCCTCGCATACAGTAAGCAACAGATGCAGGTAGGACTAAATAGACTAACAAATAATAATAATATCAACAACAGTAATAATAATAATAATAATAATAATA